ATTTTGGGTGCCGGACCCCCCTTACTTGGCTTCGATTATTTTCAGGATTTTTAGGAAAGGGACACTTTCATCTCTGTAGGATTCACTGGTCTATTTTAAATTTGATGATAAGGGAGGGAAATAGGACTCTTTTTTTTTTGAGAGCCTGTTCATCATGCAGCGAGCTTACACTTGACACTTACCTTGTTTTTTTTGTTTTTTGTTTCATTGCAACATTTTTAGTTATTTATTCCAGTATGGAATTAAAATCTGCAGTAGGTTTAGAAGTTTCCAATGTGATATCAAATAACTACTGATTGATGTCTGTTTTGACAGGGCCATCTTGAATGTCAATGTCAAGCATGCAAGTACTTCAAAATATGGCACTCAATTGTAAAATCCTATATAAAAGAAGCTATCACAAGGCTTTATTTCACTTATAGAGTGGCTAAGTATGGAAATAAAAAATTAAATCATGTTATTTTTACTATGTTTTAGTAATACAAAAAACAACAGTAGTTTCTTCATATAAAATTGTTCTGTAATGTGACCCACAAACTAAATGCACCTACATTATAAAGCTCACTGTTGATTGGCTGATAACGGATCATCTAATGTTGGATGATATGTATCCAGATGCTTATTGAGGCAGATTTTGATTATTGCGATACTATTGAAATAATATTGGATAGCTAATATTTAACAACAAATTAAACTGTATAATTGAATGTGTACTCGTATTATTTGTTCAGAATTAATTTCAAAAATGTCAGTTAAACCGGTTTATTATTATTATGTGATTTCATTATACGTTGTAATACACAGTAATCGAAATGTCATTGTATTTGACAAAATACTGGTATGCTAGTTACAGATTCGTATATTGTAGGCCAGTTTTACAATATAATTGTAAATTTGTCTACTAAACATGTATTCTTCTGCTGGTCTACTTTGAGGTAAAATAAAATTATATAACAAATTTTGCCAGCTTTTCAGAGCAGATGTTACATTTGTTGGAAACAGGGTAATGGGTCATAGCTGTGTTTTATTGGTGGGGGAGAGGGGATTACTATCCCATGCAGCAGAATAAAACAAATTAGAACACTTGTTTAATAAACGAATTGAAGTGTCAACTATGAATATAAATTATTTGTAACTTTACAGTTAATACAGAAAAGAACTGTGTTAGTCAATAAATTTCATGTTTCTCAACCATTTTTTTTATTATTCTTGAGTGATGTCTCTAATTACCCTGGCATTAAGTATGTTTTTTATGTAGAGAAATCTACAGATAAAATATACAATATTATCAAAAAAAAACTTTTGAAATTTATTTAATAGGTCCTATAGGTTATTCAAATTAAATATGTAAACTTTAAAATGAAAATAAGTATGTTATCCTTATCATGAAACTTATATTTCACACAAGTACTTTATTTTAAAATATCTGATTTTTTGTATACAACATTCTTTTCACATTTGTTAAAAGACTGCAAATTCTTATGATGATACAACTAGTAAATTCAGAATTATAGTAGTCATTAATTCTCCAATACAGGCTTAGTCCATTGTGTGAGCAACACTGCTAATGGCAGATGTGATACACATGCTTTTAGGCTTACAGGTGAGAGGAGGCTGTAAAACCAGTAAAACAAAAGGAAAATTATCAAGAAATGGCTTAAATAAAACAAACAGAATGGGGGGGGGGAGAGACCAAGTTTCCAGAGTTGAGGGTAATATCAGTCATTGTTATCAATTCTAAAAGTTACCATCGATCCATTGTTATCGGGACATTCATAATTGCAGTCTACCAATAGTTTGATGTATCATTACACTCCTAGTTCTGGTTTTCTTTCTTTTAAAGCATGGTGCAGACGCGTGTGGAAAAATAGCCATTTTTAAAAGTGTACAATCAGTAGACACACCAATTTATATTGTAGCATAGTGTAAATAAAAAATGGCACGTATCTCTTGAAAAAGTATGTATATTTTATCCGGATATGCTGGTTACCTGGAGAACTGAGTGATAATGGATTTGTTATTGCAAACAATGTAAATTAGCAGTGTACTTGTTAGTAACAAGTATCATTAAATAAAGATAAATTATTCATTATAATAATATTTAAGTGTTTACTGTACTGAAAATATATAAAGAATAATATTATGTATAGAATTGTTTTCATTGACACTAAAATAAGACCCAATCGTTATTATTATTGCCTTCAGTCTTACAGATTATTCCAAATTGATGAGTCAACTCCAGTTTTTTTTTAACAGAAACTACTTTTTTTTTTCAGTTTATCACTGAGTGCTAGAAAAGAGAATGTAACATATTATGGCAGAGCTTGGAATGTCATCAGTTAGAAGTTATTTTTACATTTGTAACCTTTAAATGAGCAGTTATATGTTCATAATTGTGTGCAGAATTCCACTAATATCTTGTAAACTTTTACCTACAAATTCAGAGTGAGCTGAAAAATTATGCTTTAGATGTGTAATTTATATCAGCATTAAAAATATAGTGTTTTTAAACCTTTGTTTTATTTTTTCAGTTTTGTATATTAGTACACAGAAGAGGAGAGTCTGATCCAGAGTTCAAAAATAGGTTTATATTTGTTATCCCCCACCTCAGCACATAAGAAAATCACCTGTATATTGGACAAGAAAGGCAGACAAGAATCGTTTTATGTACTATGAAAAAGATGGCTTTCATAATATTTTTATTTTCCATTTATCTTGTGATGGATTCACATGCTCCTTAATTAAAATTATTGTGTACGACCTGGTATAGTCTGAATTTATGTACCAAAACAAAACATTTATTTAATATATACAGGGCTGTCTTAACCATGGGTCAGGGGAACCAGGAAGAATCAGTGAATTTCATATTTTGCATTATCAACCTGGGAAGCATCAGGGAATTTCATGTGATCCAGTAATGCTTCTAGGACAAGGAAGGTGGAATTAGTACCAAAATAATCCCATACAAGATAAAGGTTGATTCTAGCACATTTAGCACATAAGTATATGTATTTTACACATAAAAATTGTTTTATCATCATTATTCTTTTTATTTACCATTAATTATCATGGAGTATAAAGACAGCTGTAATAAGTTATGCACCTAAACAGTGTGTAAGAAGTCTGGAGAAGTTTTCATCTTGTTTCCTTAATGTCATGGAGGATTGTTATACTACACCATAAAAGTTCTTAAATTACTATTTACAGATAGACTGTTTCTATTAAGTACATTTTGATTTTAAAAATTTTAGTGCAGGAATACAATATTCCCAATGACAGCAGTCATAGAAGGAACATAAAATATTCCCATTGACATATTTCTATAGGAAAGGTTTGAAATATGTCAAAACAAAAATGAATGGTTTGATTATTTTAGTAAGGCCTAGCAGGTCAAAGATAGAACAAATGTACACAGTTTTGGTAAGTTTTTTTATTTCATATTGGTTATCAAAAATACGCATAATAATTATATTAAATAATATTTTATTAGTAGCTTTGTTTCAATTTGTTATAAAATAAGATATACATAACTAACCACTGCATATATCACATGACATCATAATGCATACAACAGCTAGGGCAGGGGTTGTTGACAAGCAATATCTCCAAGGACAGGCGGATTATCGCCAGTGACAGATAAGGATAAGATGGCAAAATATAACACCAGTACTTTGGAAAAACAACAAATTTAAGAAAAAAATCAAATAAAAAACACAACTAAGTATAGAATGATTCATTGATAATGATATTTTCAACTATAAGTTATCAAGTCAATCTGGGTAAAGGCAATCACCCGTTGGCAAAAGTACAATCTATAGAGCTTGAAAATATTTTATTTTCAACTATAAGTTATCAAGTCAATCTGGGTAAAGGCAATCTCCTGTTGGCGTAAAGTGCA